AGATGTCAGTCTCCCCAGGAAGTCTTCCCGACCCCTGGGAAGGCTGGATCCCGCCTGCCAAAATGGGCCTGCACAGAATGGAGGCTCTGCAAGTGTTAATGGAATAAACACAAGCATGCGTCACTCCCCCAGGTGGCTCTCAGGGACCCTAGGGCAAAGCACAAAATGGAACATCCTTTCCTCCCAGCATCTCTGAGGGGGTCCCCGCTAGGCTGCGACAGCTGGGATGGCCCTTTGCCTGTGAGCTTTGCAGGATGTGCCCAAGGACAGCGAAAAGGCTTGAGTCAGGATTTTAAAAGCAATGCAGCTAATTAAAAAATAACTCGAACTGAAAACAAGTTCGGAAACAATTAGGATAATTAAAATATCACTACAGTACCTTAATTGAGATCAAGCCGTGAGCTTAAAGAATAAAATTAATTTTAAAATTACATGTAACCTATAATTAATTGGCTTTCGAATTCAATGTTTTCCTGCTCAACAAATCTCTCTTTAAATTAATTCATTTTTTTCTTTGAGAAAAAGTTTTTGTAAAAATTAATTGGACATGGATCATGTGCCAGTTGACACTTGCTCATGGGCAGGAAAGATGACGTTGACCTCTGTGGGTATCTGCTCTGTGCTAGGCTCAGTGTCCTATTTAAGTCCACGTAAGTCCTGCAGGTTATTGAGACAGAAGAGGCACAGGGGACATGGTCGGCTTTGCTGACTGACGGGGATTGCTGCATCCTAACACGAGGCATGTGCTCAGTGAGCAAACGCTGGAGCACAGTCTCCGGAAATCATTAGCACCTGGACAAGGAGCTGGCCGGGTTTGTCCCTGACACTCAGCTCCTGGCGCCCCTTCCCTCCGCACCTGCACCATTTCCCGGCACCTTATTAAAGAGCCTCTTCCACTTACTATTCTGATGCCTTATCATTCCCTTTAGAAGTGGAGCCACATGGCTCTGTCCGAAACCTGTGCTGGGAGATTTTCATAAGTGTCACCTTTCAGGAGTGTCACCTGAGCCCTGGGGCTGCTGGGAAAGCTTATTGAGGCCACATTTAAATGGAACCGACAGACTCCTTTCACCATCCACATCCCCTTTACATTCCAATGTTGCTGTTTTTCAAAACAAGATGAATCCTGGTGATTAAATAAACTCTGACAGCTTGATCTGTTACTGTTTTGTTGTTCTGTGAAGTTTATTTAAATAATTCGCATATGTGTTTGAAGTATTCAGTCCCCGATAATTAATTTTTAGCCTACTTGATTTTTATATGCAGATTGTTAAGGAAGTATGCATAGAGAGTTAAATAACTGCTGATTTTTATTTATTGTTTTGGTTGGAGTTTTTTGTTTCTTTTAGTAATGCTAGTGTCAAGCATGGGGGGCGGGGAGGGGTGGCTGACCTACAGTACTAGTAGCCTAATGCTAGGGTGACAGATGGCAAGGTTGCAGAAAGAAAATGGAACACCTACTGGTCAGTTGACTCATCTGAGTGGTGGTTGCATTCAGAGGGAGTATGCAGAGGGCACACTTGCCCAGAGCTGGCACCCCACCTTCTGGGGTGGTGTGTGTGTGGCCCAGCCGAGGCAGCACCAGGCCTCTGGCTGCCCCTGCTTTTACCCCTTAACACTCATTCTGCCAGAAGGCCTCTCAGGAACATGGTGCATCTGGCTTTATATATGTTGTGAGGTGAGGGCCACAGCAGCTTTTAAAAGGAGATCCTAGCCCTGATTGGTGTGGCTCAGTTAGTTGGGCATTGTCCTGTGCACAGAAAGGTCGCTGATTCGATTCCTGGTCAGGGCCCATGCCCAAGTTGCAAATTTGATGCCTGATTGGGGTACATGTGGGAGGCAGTCAATCAATGTTTCTCTTTCAAGTCTCTCTCTCTCTCTCTCTCTTTCTCTCTCTTCCTCCCTTCCTCCATCTCTTCCTCTCCCTTCCTCTCTTTAAAAATCAATAAAAACATTTTTTTTTTAAAAAAAAAAAGGAGATCCCAGGTGATCCTCTGCTGCTGGCTTGTGGTGGTAAGGAGTTTGGGTCCTGGAGCCCCCCACCAGGTGTCAGATACCCTCTGCTCCTCTCACCAGGGACTTCTCTTTCAGACCTTTATTTGTAAAACTAGAGGCCCGATGCAGGAAGATTCGTGCAAGAATAGGCCTTCCTTCCCTTGGCTGCTGGCACCGCCTTCGCTCCAGCCCGGAGACGCCTTTCCGCCTTAGCTCTGGCCCGGAGCTGCCTTCCACCTTCGTGCACTGCCCAGAGGCCCGGAGCGGCCAGGGCAGGGTGGAACGCCTGTATTGTCGCCATGGCGACGACGCAAGCGTCCGTCCCGGTCACCGCCATCTTTGTTTCGTTAATTTGCATATTCCCTCCTTATTGGCTGTGGGCGCCACCATCTTTGTCACAAAGTGATGGTCAATTTGTATATTCCATCTTTATTAGATAGGATGGGTATATCAGCAGCAGCTACCTTCTTGGATGTTGTGAGAATGAAATATGGTAATCCAATTAGAGGGCTTAGTTCACTGCCTGCATGTCAAAAGCACAGGCCAAGTGTTAGCTATTGTTCTTGTTACTATGGAGGCTTATTATTCACTCTGAGGACAAAAGACAGACACACACTAAATTAACAAACACCTAAGATGTCTGTGCTAAGCACTTACATGTACCAGGTCTTTTCTAAGTACTTACAAATATTAACTCATTTAATCCTCATGATAATGAAAAGCAACAGTAAGTACAGTTATTACCCCATTTAACAGAAGAGGCATCCAAGGAAGGGAAAGGTTGGTAAGCAGCAGAGCCAGCATTCAAACTCAGAAACATGGGGCTGAGAGTCTGTGTTCTTCCCCACGATGTCGGCTGATGGACATGCCTTGGGACTGCACTGTCCAGTGAGGCCCCGCAGGCCGCTGTGTGGACATGGCATGTTTGTGAAGTTGGCTGCAGAAGCAGAAAGAAGCTCGAATTGGGCCATAAAGCTTGTCATGTGGTACTGCAGGCTGTGGCACCGTCCCTCTAGGCCAGCCTGTTAGTCTCCATCTCTAAGCTGTCTCCAGTGAAAACCCCAGGGTGATGTGGCACCTGCCAGGGAAACCTCGGCTGGCACCTGTGGCCTGGCTGCCAGTGGTCTGGCCCCAAGTTTCTTGAGATCCCTAAGTGTACTTCATCCCGAGGTGGTTTGGAGTATGAGAAGGGGCAGCTAAGGGCCAGCGTGGTCCTCATTAATTGTCACCTGGTCATCAAGTCTTCATTGTGGGTTCAAGTTTGGATGTGTCTTGGAAAGTAGTCAAATTGGTTGGACTGCCACCTGGATTGGTGGTGGGGGACAGGGCGGCCTGAGACACAACAGCATTGGAGCTTCTTGTATGGAAGTCCTCAGGACCAAGAGCGATCCACCCAGAAAGCCCAGCCCCAGAGGACCGTGAGGCAGACCCAGAGTGCAGGAGGCAGCCCTCAGCTCAGGAGCTCAGAGTGAGCCCTCTTTCCAGGGGGCTCCATGCAGCCTCTCTCTTATCTGGCAGCTCATTTCCTCCTGCTGAGCTCCAGCAGTTCCTTGAGAAGTAAGCTCTGCCAGATGGCTCCCCTGGGACCGACCAGGATGCAGCCTTGTTGCCAACCTGACTGGCCTAACAACTCACCTGGCTTCTGTTTCCAGTGCTGAGGCTGCTGCACAGAGGGTGCACCCTGAGCGGTGCAAGCAGCAGAAATGCCTTTGGATGTTTGTGTTCAGGTCCCTGGAGACACTCCCAGCAGCTGCCTGAGGAAAATGGTGCTGAGATTCTGGGCCTGGGCGGGCTGAGGAACAATGACTGCCTGTGTGCAGGGAGATGGTGAGCGTGAGGGACCCGTGGTGGAGGAAGGATGGCATTTCTCATAGCAGTTTTGCTGTCCCTGCTCTGGAAGCTGCTTTGTTTAACCAAATGTTTGTTGGCGAGGACATGGGGAAACTCACCTCCCTGGCCCAGGAGAGCAGTTATGAGAGAGCTATAGCCTCACAGGCGTCAGGCCCTGCAGCTGGGAGGTGGCACAATTGCTTTTGCTTTGCAGAGACTCCCCTGTGGTCACTTCTCTGCCTCGATGAGGAGCCACCTCAGCAGGTGGGGTGCTAATGAGCTGGGGCCTGCTGCTCTGCCTGTTCTAGGAAGTGTTGCCTTGTAGGAACTGCTGTCCTTGGAGACTCTTTCTCCAGCGGCTTGGATGAATCAACTGTCCTCGCTGTCATTATTCCCAGGCATAAAGCTCACTTACTAGTCAGATGGAATATCTTATGATTGCCCAGACATGCTTCCTTTCATTGGCGGATGTGGCCACCCGGCCTCAGGTGTCTTTTCTCTCTTTGCTTTTCAAAATCCTGCCCATCCTTCAAAATCCAATTCACATATTAATGCTTCATTAATCCTTGCCCCAGAAATTGATCTCTGTTTTTCTCTCCAGCTCTGTTATCACTTTACATGCCCGTCATGGCCCTTATCTAATTCTCCCTGCACAATAAATATTTATGGGGAAGCGTTTCCCCCTCCCTATTGTATTGTAACTGTGTGTGGCACAGAACTGTCTTGTGCATCTGGAAGTTCTTCAGAAAACTTAAAATAGGCTTATTTATGCACAGCGTCCATTGGATTGAACTGAAGTCCCTGAAGAAACAAGAACAAAAAACTCTGTCCTCAAGGACTTTTTCTGTTGTCGGAAATAAGTAAAATTAGGCACGGATGAAGTCATAAAAAGCAATGGCAGACAAATAACCAAAGAGGGAAAATAGCTCTTGGTCCTTAGAGCATGTAGGATTTAGAGGATTTTAAAAGTAATTTCTGCCAAAGATAAAGATGCTGCGGGTCCCCACGGTACAATGGAATCACTTTCGTGATGTGAAAAAAACATGTGAAGTAGACACGGAATTCCCCCATGTCGATTCCATTCCCATCTCCTGCAGTCTAAGAAAACAGCGCAGAGTGCAAACGCATGGTGTGTTTACGTCCCACACATCTATTTGAGTAGAAATAGAAATTAGATGTTCCCTGGAGGTCCTAACCACCCGTTTCTGTTCTTTTTTGCCTCAGCCCTGGACGCCTCCAAAGACCCCTGCCTGAAGGTGAAGTGCAGCCCCCACAAGGTGTGTGTGACCCAGGACTACCAGACGGCCCTGTGTGTCAGCCGCAAGCACCTGCTCCCCAGGTAAAGGCAGGAGGTCGGGGGTGCTCTCCATCCGGTGGATCTGGGAGTGCGCCATCGCTGACTGGGGGGCAGGAGGCAGAGTGGGTGTTTGTGCCATGGTTTCACATGGGATTTGGTACCTGCACTCCTGCTATGATTCTCAGACACAAATTTGCAAAGAATGTCAATATCTTTATTTCCTTTACATCAACTTTACATGACTCTGAGCCCTCATCTGAGCAGAGGAACAGAAAACCCTTTCTTGGTCATTATTGTCCCTCCTCCCAGAATGACCCCAGGACCCAGGAAGCTTGTAGCTAACAAAACACTGGCTGGACCTTTAGTCTCCTGGTTGCCACTGACATTCCCACCAGGGACTGTCTGTGTCATGACCATATAGAATGTGGCATCTTTGCCTGGCTGGGTGTCCAGCACACCACCATTCCTTCTGATAATGTGTCTTGCTCTTCCCACAGGGGGCAGCGTCTGATAGTCTCTCTTCCCCAGCCCAGGGGACGTCTCCCCACTGTTTTTCAGGGTCCTCAAAGCCTTTGCCGCCCCCCACCCACTCCCAGCATTATCCAGCCAGTGGGCATAGGCTTTTACAAATGACAGAAAGAGCCTTTGATTTCAGGCTACTTCTGCCTTCCGTCCTGCAGAAGTACTCAAAGCAAGAAAACAGAGACACAGACCCAAAAAGCAGGCTTTTTTAAAGGGTGGGGTTGGACAGGTGTGGTGGGGGGAGAAAGGTGATTTCAGTGTCTATGTCGCCCCTCTCTTCACACTGCCTGGACAGCGGAGAGGTGTGCGACGGACGCAGGAGTTACGACTCCCGGTTCTGGGTTCAGCAACTTGCGAGGAATGTGTTTTAATTTCCCTCAACCCCCTACCTGGCTTCCTCTGATCCTGCCTGAGGAGCTCTGTCCTGGGAAACAAGGTCCAGCAGGAGTGACAACAGGAACAGAGCCTCCACCCCCTGGACCTCTGCAAGCCTGGTGCCTGCAGCAGCAGACCTAGCCCGATGCTCGCCTAGTAGTCAGCCTTTTGTCTGTGAGACCTGCATGCTTTGCTGTTCCCTCAGACAGGAGTGCTCTTCCTGGAAGTAAAGAGATCTCACCCCAAAGCCCAAGCATGTGCCCGGCATTGTGCTCAGCACCCCCATCCTTGAATTCTCCCGGCCATTTTGCCAAGTGGGTGTTTATTTTTGTCTTCACTCTAAAAATGAGAGAACTGAGGCAGAGAGAGGTGTTGGTGATTTGCTTGTATATCTAGTGAGCGGCAGCCATGATTCAAACCAGGGCTGTCTAGCTCCACCGCTTATGTTTTTTTATCACTACTTCATGTTGGCCTCTCCATTGACCTGTCCTTGTCTATCCTCATTCATTGTCCTCCCACAGAAAGGCACGGGGTACCTATTGTGTGCCAGGTTCACGTTAGGCCCTGAGGCCAGAGAGGTCAACAAGAGACCCTGTTTCCACTCTCAACGAAGATCAATTTTGCTGTGGAATGGGATATAAAAAATATTTTTTTATTAGAAATTCCTTTTAAGACATACATACTCTGAGAAAACTATCCTAGTGTCTCCTGCCACACTTGATTTCTTCTTTCTCGGAAGGAGGGACGATATGTCCTCTTTTGCTGCAAATACCAAAGACACTTTGGGCCAGTGCTCTGGGTTGTTGAGCCACCTGGTTGTGTGTGTGTGTATGTGTATACATGTGTATGTGTGTATATATATATCTACATGTGTGTGTGTATATGTGGCTGTGTGTATGTGTGTTTGTGTGTGTGTGTGTGTATGTGTGTGTGTGTGTGTGTGTGTGGATTGTGGAGAGCCCACTGCCTGTTTCCTCCTGGAATACTGCCCTTTCTGGAAGTTCCAGATAAGAGATTTTTAGTTTTAAGCTCAAAGCTCTTTGAGACAGAGGCAGGAGTCTCATTGGCATTCTGGTATATCCAGGTGTAAATAGCGGTTTTCTGGGCACACCACATGTCTGTGTTGGAAGCACCAGCACATTCTTGCTGTGTTGAAAGTGTAATCCTCATCTCCACATCTCCTGGTGACCACAGACTTGCAGTGGCTAAAGCATGGATTTGGGGATGAGACTAATCTGGGCTCCATTCTGATGTTGGTTAATTACTTTACCTTCCTGAATCTGTGCTTGCTCATCTATAAAATGGGTTTAATGAAAGTATTCGCCCCACCCCTCTTTTCTATTTGCTGGAATACATCCTCTAAGTAATTCTTGCAGAGAGGACTTATGGGTAGTAAATTTTACTAACCCTTGCCTAGGATATTTTGTATGTATGTTTGTGTGAGAGTTCAATAAGGTAAAGGTATATAAAGTACATAAACTAGTGTCACATAATGATAGTTACCTTCCAATTACTAACACAGCTATGATAATAGTTGTTGTTGTTATCTGGATCATTCTGGAAGGTCAGCCAGCAAACCCCAAAGCTGCATGCTACTCCAGGTGCCTTGCCCCTTCACAGTCTGATTGGAAGCCTGTGAGGTTTAGCATGAGGATTCCAGTGTCCTTTCCACTGCCCCTTTTGTGACTCACAGGAGGTAAGGACTAAGATGACTCCATTTCTGATAACATTGCCTATTTGTCCATTGGAAAAACAGCCCAGAGAAGAGGCCGATTGAGGAGGCATGCCACTCCATTCAGAGCATTTGGGAGGTGGCCTGAGCCGGGGAGGCCCTGCAGTGGTGTTGGCTGTGGCTGTGGGTCCAGCTTCCCTCCTCTCCCCCTCAGAGCCTGAATGACTCCGCCCGCCATATCAGCCAAATGCATACCTCTTCTTAGGGTCTTGGACACCTTCCCAGATGAAACATCTGTCTTTCCACATTGTACTTCAGGGGTCCCCTCTGACCATGGAGACCATGTTGACAACTCTATATACTCATCAATCAGGGAAGTAATCTTTCCCTCTGAGAAACATCTGTAGGCAATTCCATCAGCCAATCTGGCCTCTGCAGCAGCTCAAGAGGCAAATCCCGCCGCCAGACAGGCAGGAGTGCACACACACACAGAGGCGGCTGGACCAGCCGTGGGCTGATTATGAGGCTGCAGACTTAGGCTGCCTTTGCAAGCAGATTGAGATAAAAGGACGGTGAGCACATCAGGGAGAGAATTTCATTAGCTTTCCTAGCTGGCGGAGATTGAGTGAGTGAAGCTAGCAGTTTGGTACACAGGTCAGTGACTGCAGAACTCAGGGCAAGCAATTTTGGGGGGTGGAGCAAGCCAGGCAACCAGCCCGCCCTCTGCTGTGGTTCTCTTTCTTTATTAGGATTGCGTTTGGTTTTGTCTTTGGTTTCTCCTAGCGGCTTCAGCTAAACTCACATTCTCTTCGGAGACTTTTCTTTGGAAATTCCTTATTACATCTCTGCCTGCCGTTAAGCTTGGGAAAGGGGATTCCTGGCAGTGTGCTCACCTTTCTGGCTCTCCAAAAGGGGCCATTCATGCACTAAAGAGCATTGTGAAGGCAGCTTGGAAGCGGGAAGCCTTCTCTTAAATGACTTTTTTACAATATTGCAATTTTTTATAATGATAGATGATGATGTTTGTTACAGAAAACATAGAAAAGTAAAAAGAAACAAGAAATAAACCAAGGAATCAAGACATTTCAACATATTTCTTTCCATTCATGCATGGTCATATAGTCTTAAAATAGGAATCAAGACATTTCAACATATTTCTTTCCATTCATAGTTTTTGCCCAGTGGTTTGTTTCTGTCAAAGCTTGATTATCAGGTGGTGCCTATATAAAAATTCATATTGTTATTATTTAATTCTCTTCAGTTAATATTTATAAATGAGTATTTCTATGATTCTACAAACTAATGAATCATAAATATAAGAGCCAAGACTATAAAACATTTAGAAGAAAACAAGAGTAGTAACCTCGGATTTGACAAAGATTTCTTAAATAAGACAAAAACCATGAACTATAAATGCCAAAATAAAGAAAAAATCAACAAATTAGATATAATCAGAATTAAAAACTTTGACCCTCAAAAGACACTGCTATGAAAGTAGAAAGATAAGACACACTGGGAGAAAATATTTGCGAAACATACGTCCAACAAAAGATCAGTGCCTAGGATGTGCGATGAAAGCACAGGTCCATTCAAAGACTCACTCATGAATGTCCATAGCAGCTTTATTTGCTGTAGCGAAAAGCTGGAAACAACCCAGATACCCATCAACAGATGAAGGGATAAACCAAATGTGGTCTCTCTATTATAATGGAACACCATTCAGCAATAAAAAGAAGTAGGCTATTGATACATGAGGCAGCATGAATGAATGTCATAAGTGTTCTGAGTGAAAGAAGACAGACCAATTTTAAAAAGGAGTATATATTATATGATTCCCATTTACAAGGAAGTCTAGAGAATGCAAGCTAATCTGTGGTGACAGGAAGCCTGTCATTGGTTGTCTGGGATACCTGCGCATTCTCTAAGGCTCGATAATGGAAAATGGGTCCTTAGGGAGAGAGTTAAATCAAACTCTGGTCTTCGTTGCCAAAGATCCCCCTGGAAAATGGGTTTGTTTGGGGAAGAGGAGTTTTTAATACAGCCATATGTTTTTTTTAGTGACTTAGGTTTTAAAAAATATTCTCTCGGGTCTTCTTAAATAAAACACCCTTGTAAGGGACAGGGGGTGGACAGAAAGTCACACGACCTGCAGAGGGGATTTGCTGCCAGTCGGGATGGCGAGGTCTGATTTATTGTTCTGTGGGCAAGAGATGGGGCGGGGGGACTTCTCTCTACAGAGCGCTAGACATTGATTTTACCTCTCCGTTGCCATTGATTTTTATTTGGAGAATAGAAAATTGAAGCATTTGTTGTAAGCCTTCAGGACAGGCCATATTTTCACATTCTGCAAGTGTATTGTGAATGGGAGGAAAGGATGTCAGGATGGGACTTTCAGTATCTGAGTGTACCCTGGAAAGCCTTGTGGGGACGGTGGGAACTGACCTGTTTTTAAATAAGGAGCCAAAGTCTCTGA